ATATATATATATATATATATATATATATATATATATATATATATATACTAAAGATACAGTAATTGCACAGACTCCTCCTATATGGTCTTCCAACAGCGTTTTTCTGAATCATGGGATCAGTTAAATTAACGCTTTCCGCTTGGTGCGTAATCATTTTATCTATCCACTTAAAATTTCTGTGGTAAAACAAAACCGGAATTTCGATCAGTTATGCGGTTTGCTATTGTTGGNTCGTATCACCCAATTGTCTACTTCTATTTTTCTTCCGTGACCGGCATTTTGATTTTTCCACTACCACAGAACGATACTCATTCTCTGTCATGCGTATCAACGTTCTGAGTAGCGATGTAACGCATACACGTGCATGCGTGCATTCTCATGCGTACACACGCACAGACAGGTAGATACAGATAGATAAAAGACTTACCAATTTCGTTTCGTCTCTTTCCGCAATGCTCGCTCCATTACATCGTATCTGTTATCCGTTCACCACCACCACCACCACCGACTGCACCTCCTTCTCTCTCTCTTGTCGCGTCCAGGGCGGTTTAATATCCATCTGTCAGGACGATGTGGTGCACTTATGGAATATAAAACAAAAGAATCCGGAGCTGGTTCACTCTCTTCAGTTCAAGCGCGAACAGTAAGTTTGTTGTTGGGCGATCTTTATCGTTGCCACTGTCACCATTTCTAAGCTGTTTTGACACCCATTCACCCACTTCGGTCCCCCCCTGCATTTTCCATACTAATACACGCATTATCGGTTCGGCTTCCTATTTGTCATCGACATTTGCATCACCTCTTCTGTTTTCGGGTTCTTGTTAACAGATCAAAGTTGACCTGTGCAAATGTGTCATTTAGCTAAACGGTTTACCCACCTGGGAACAGTGAATCGTATCCACCAAACAGAAATCGAGATTGAAAAAGATGGGAGCTGTTCAGAATGGAAATTCATCTCTTTCCGGTGTCCTTTTTTATGATCATGTTTGTTTATTCTTTATAAAACCTATTCGTCTTACGACTGCTTTTTTAAATCGACGATGTTATCAGAATACTGCACTTTAGTAATATTGTTTTTATTCCCTCGCCAATCTGATCTAGCAAGACCATTTGAGGTAGACTTATGTCTAAGCAATTTTTGATTATATTTATCTGACAAACGAAGCACCACATCATTTCACTTCAATCAAAATATCAGTTTTCATTTTCCACTATCGTGCGAAGCTTTTGTTTGTCGTCTTTCAGCTACTCAATTTTCGTGGTCCATTCATGAAAGAGTGCGAGGAACAGGCAAGTAAATGCCGAGAGCACTATCGAACTAAATATACCGAAACTAAGCAATCCAGATCTCCGTCAATAGTGAGTATACGCGCGAGCCCCACTGTTTAAAACACCCACGCATGTCACCTGGTGTCTATCCACTGACTGAGTTGGTTACAAGATCCCCGACCAGAAAGTGAAATATGGCCTGTGTGACCGAAAGCTCGTTCCAGGATTTCCATACCTAATACTAGGTTTAATTCTGCCCAAACACACTACCTGACTGGGAAATCATGGTACACCAACCACCAAGGGATTCTATCCGGTCACATGCGTAACAAATGCCCTGGCTATTACAATCTGTCAAAGTCGAGCATTTGGTCCGGCATCTGACCGCGATTACTCAAAACCGCAGCGTACGCAGCGCTGTTCAAATACCGACAGTCTGTCCTTATGCTATCCCCGTAAGTGTAGTTTTTTTGCACCATGTAGGAGAACCCAGGCGGCATACACTGCTCTTCGATTTGAAGTCTTTACTTAGTAGGCAAGGAAAGATTACTGGGAAAGCTTGTGGCAGGTGAAATGAAATGCGTGCATATAAAAATCATCTGATGAAGTAAAGAGGTGTAGAGGTAGATTTCAGCCGAAGAAAATTGATCGTCAGATTCAGATTAGAAGGTTTCGTTGGTTAGGTTGTGTTGCACATGTCTAGCTGTTGTCTACGGCAATGCGCCTCATTTGCAGTTGCTGCTCCAGCCGGAAGAAAATCACGGGGAAAAGAACAGACGAGGAGGCTCAAAACTTAGCGGGACCTTCGGGGGAGGGGCATAAATTTTGCTGTTGCTGTGGTGATTTATTGCGTAACTGGTGTTTATAGACACTGAAGGATGTGGTTGAGTATCGTAACAGTGACGCTCGTGTATCCACTCATCGTCCTTGCAACCTTCGTCTACATTAATTTTATATTTCCACCTTGACACTTCTTTCAATATTCCAACATTTCTTTATAATCCTTCATCCAAATGAGTAGCCAAGAGATAGCAACCAAAACGGCCGCCCGAAAGTGCATGGTTAAGGGTTTTAAAAAGTGTAACTAAAACTAGTGACTTATTATATCTCAGTCAGCTAACACGTTAGCCTTTGTGCTGGAAGTTCGAACATGCGTCCAAACTTCGTTTCCCCACAGAACGGTTCATCCTCTGAAAAAAGTTTTCCTTTTCATTCTTCGTGATCCTGGGTTTACCAGCCTTGTACGCGTTCACTCTACGTAAAGATGAAGAAATACAACTTCACTTCGTGGTACGGATGAATGTTACTGTAATCCATGGATTTCAGCCGGCCAATCCGATACTATTCTATGCTTCATTGTTTAAGCCTTCTCGTTTGTAACACCTTCGAACTTCTGACTCTTTCCAAAAATATGGTCCTGCCATTCGTGATCGAGAAGTCCTTTCTGTCTAATCAGTTGACGCCCCGGTTTCTCACCATTCTTATTCCAACTAGTCGATAGCGGGGATATAACTCACCTTTCCCCCGTATGGTCATGATGATTTAGTTTCAGTTTTCAGTTTGAACAACCATTAACCATGCACTTTCGTGCGCCGGTTTTGGTTGCTGTCTTTTGGCTAACCATTTGGATGAAGAATAGGAGAAGAAAGGAAAGTTGAAAGTGGAGTCGAAAAGAAAATGAAGAAGTTCAGTGGTCTAAGGTTGCAAAGAAATTGAGGAGATGCACGAAGGCCACTGTTTACGACACCCAGCCATATCGCTCAGTGTCTCTAACCATCGGTTACGATCATCCCGAGGTCCCCAGTCAGGGAGCCTAACAGGCCCTATGTGACCCAGTTTCCTGGTTAGGGTTTTCATATCCTCGTGCCAGGTCTTAACTTGACCGCCCTTGGCTTTTTTCCACTCGGTATCTGCTTCGGTGAACATCGCTCGCCGTTGTAACCTACCTGGTGACATGCGTAACACATNGGAGGTTGACCGCTTGCTCCAGTGGGCGACCGTATTTACCCAAAACTGTGCCCCTAACCTCAGAATTGCTCATCCGGCTACCCCACCAGATTCGTGCAATGCTGCGTAGGCAGCGGTGTTCACACACCAACAATCTGTCTTTATCCTGTTTTCTTAATGGTCAAGTTTCCGTATAGCAGGACTGGTCGAACTGTCGCGGCTTACACTCGACCCTTCACAGATAGCCAAATGTCTCGACGGCGCCACAGATGTCTCAAGTTAACAAATGCCAACCGAGCCTTCTGTATGCGAGCAGGCACTTCATCCGTGATGCGTCCACCGGGTGAGATGTAGCTGCCCAAGTAACAAAACTTATCCACCTGCTCTATTACTTCTCCAGTGAGAGTGAGGCTGTGTGCTGGACCAACCCAGTCTTGTAGTAACATTTTACACTTTCTCTATTACTTCCCCAGTTAGAGTGAGGCTGGGTGCTGGACCAACCCAGTCTTGTATTTGCATTTTACACTTTCAAGGTGCAAAACGTATACCGAATATGGCTACACTAGCATTCAAGTTATCCAGAAATGCTTGCAACTTAACAGGATCTTCACTTAGTAGCACAATGTCGTCTGCGTACTCCAGATCAGACAGCCTGCCACCTGGGAGTAAATCGATGCCACTATCCTCGCACGAGGATAGGGCTGTTTCCANAATCAGATCAGTTAAATAGAAAATGAGAAAGATGGCAACCCTGACGAACACCACTTTCGGGAGAAAAAGTCCCGTAATCCCGGACTCGACTTCGGCTATGATTTAGAGACAGCTTGGACACAATAATAGCCATATTGTTTGTGTGCTCACCTATAAGCACATTGGTTTGGCGTATTTTTTCTACTTCCGTATTCCATTTGTATCAGACAGAGCAGCTGGCACCTCTTACTTGTTCTTATTGGAAATCGATTCGTTCATTCCACGGCCTGCGCCTAAATGTGTGCTCTGAAGTTTTCTTCACCGTTTAAAATGCCTTATCTTATTTGAAATACTATACGTGTAATTGATGAGGTGTATTTCGATTCTTTTGCCTAGAGTCTCACGTGTAACGTACACAGATGGATGATTATAGTATTCCTGTATGAGGTAAACACGCCTGTTCTATACGCAGCCAGGTTTCCAATTATGGTCAGTTTGTAAGGGCATTGAGGTAATGAAAAAGGGTATACCGAAGGAAACAAACTCGCTGTGAATTGGTTACTGCAGTATTTTCTGCTGTTTTCTAGTCTTCACTCATGGCTTTTCAGCTACGTACGTCCTTGGCCCTCAGAATAATAACGATGCATTGCATCACTAAATCCATCGTTTGACTTTGTTCATGTGATCCTCCTCACAAGAGCGGACACAAACGCGCTGACTCTGTTGTTCTTCGCTGTAATCAAAAGGCTTTTGCCAATGTGCTTAGTTTGATTTGTTCCCTATCAGCGGTCTTTCGGCTTCAAGGAGCACCTTTTCTTTGTGGTTTTGAATAGTTCCTTTGTTTTCCTTGGTGAACCATTGACACTAAGGCTAAATAAAACGAATGAACACTGGAATCCTTGACCAAGCTCTCTAAATATATGAGCGAGGGTTTAAGTGAAGGCTGAAAAACCTAAGAACAATGGATGAGTAGCCACACGAAACACCGTGTAAGAAAGACGCGAACAGATTGGAACAGGAATTCCGTCTGATACACGGCTAAAATTCGTGTCGAGTGTAAAAATGGGTTAGGGATGACGGGACTGAATGAGCTCAAATTCATGTATGGTGTCACCTTACTTTAGTCTTCAGGAGAGTCGTAAATGCATAGTTCAAGCCCATAGTGATTTGCGTTGAAGGCTGTTGTATTACCTGATAGATTTAGTACAAGCAAGCATGAACTGCAAGACAAAATTGTCGTTACGGATGAGCCGGTGAATCTTGACGGGTAAATGTAACACGACAAACGGAAAACGGCCATGTTTTGTGGCAGATCACGTTCACTATGTTACAGTGATTTCCACAGATATGTATGACGTTTTTGTGCGGGTAACGTCTGCTTGGTGATAAACACCACATTCCCGAGCACTGGGCCGATCGTCTGTGACTGCTTATTCGGTGATCCCTTATTCACCGCTACCCTGACTTTGCGGTCGTTTAGATATCTACGACCTTGGAGCGCGCTCATCAATAGTGCAAATTATTCCACTCAATTGATCACGCGTAGAACGCAATTATAATACTCACTCGAACGCCTCCTTTTCAATGATGCCAAACAATCTGCGATCCGCTTCTTCACATATTCTCTTGAGGCTGCTGGTCATGGTCAAACGATAATGGGTAATCCTATTCATATCGTGTGATCATTAAATCACTCGCCATTATCCATCGGCTGATTTCACTTCATTGTGCCACGACAGACCATGTGGGCGCCACAGGTGAATCTTGAAGATAGTTTTGTGGGTAACACATAGTAGACACTTTGCTGTGCTTGTTAAATTTTCGCAGGGAGGTGTTTCGCCTTTCACTGTGTTCCGCGGCTTTGATTTTGCCGTCAGCTTGGAATTTCATCATGTTAGGTTTTTATCCTCAAGTGTGTAATGATGTGAATTTTTACACCTGTTTTGTCTTTCTGCAACAATCTACATGAAGCTTATCTGGTAAACAAATGGCAAGCTCCTTTACCGAGTCATGTGAGGAAAATTTAAACTGAACATATGCCGGTTTTCACCACGCTCTTGAGGTTTGATCTTAACCGAATATATTGCCGATTGACGGGCCTTCTCTGCGCAATAACGTTTTCGTTACTGTTCTCGGTTTGACCCTTGAGTATAAGCTACGCTACTGGATGAAGCTTGCACATGCATTGGAGCACGCTGTCATAGGACTACTATGAGCTCCACATGCTACCGTCAGTTCTTCACATAATCCTGTATAAAGCGTTTCCAATGAACCGATCAATCGAGTGGATTTCGCAACACCGTTTCATGACAGACTGTACCACCGGGTTGTTAACTTACAATTAGACCAACCAATCTTCTATAGATCAGACAGGCCTTGGGAACCTTCATTGTGTAATTTGAACTGACAGATCAGATAAAACTTGTATAGGAAAGAGTAAGGTGTGGCCTTGCTACTTTCCGACACACCCTGTTGCATGAGCCAGTTCAAGTCAGCAATTTAAACTCTTCCACCAC